TTGATTTAATATATATTAAACATGTTATTTTTATAACTATTTTAATTTTTTAGTCTATTTATCATCATTAATAATTATTTTTATTTTTTTATTATATCACTGGTTCGACCAGTGACCCAGTGGTTGAACCAGAAATCCATTGACCCGGTCCCTTCTCCGGGTTGGTGTCCGGGCCGGGTTTTAAAACTATGGTAAGAATTCTTAATTCTTTTTGGATAGACAAATATACAAACTCAAATTTAAAATGTATTATGAATATTTTCAATCACTTGAGTTTAATTATCGGACCAAAAAATAATGGTTACCCCCTTTTTCTATTGCAGTAAAAATATATAATTCAATTATCAACGTTATATTTTGTGGAATTAAGCACTCTGCACGCAATAGTAAGACTACTTACATTTGATATTTTTTAGACTTTATAGTGCCTGACTAGACAAATGCACTGAGCCACTCATTTTATAATGATGATATTGGACATGTTTGGAGTTAGCTTAAAACCTCATATTTTTTTGGTTTTACAAGAAAAAACTTGATTCGTTTGGACCCAAATTTATTAGGGTACTTTTTCATCCGTTTTTTGGGTCGATTTTTTTGAAAATATTTCAAACGGTTCTAAGAAGTTTTTTAATTCTGACATTTTCATTTCACTTTTCACACCTCTATTTTGCATCCCAAAAGAGTAAACTCTAAATGCGCAAGCTAAAAAAAATATTTTTTTCTCAAGGTAATGAGTTTCTTCTATCTTGTTAATGTTTTGTTGAGGGAAAAAACAGGGTTTTGTTTGTGTATAAACTTTTTTCCAACTTTCACAACAAAAAGTGGACTTTTATATTATTTCTTTGACTTTTTAACAAAAATAATAGTGTCTTTATCATCTATGTAATTTGCACGTCATCATTTGTTGGGTAGTTGTCTAGCTGATTATAATTATAAGGCTTTTGAGGTTAAAAGCATAAGTCACTATTAGATTAGGGTGTATTAGAAGATCTCCCCTTCAACTTTCTTTTTTTCTTTCCACCAAATCAACTTTTAACCTCAAAGTGTTACAATTATGTTGCCTAGTGCATGCACTTTTCTTACCTAGTCCATCACAAGAAAACTAATTAAAATATAAGTACCTCACAAAATCCCTTTTGAAGATCCGACAAAGACACTCCCAAAATTTTTCGTTGATTTGGTTAATAAAGAAGTTAGGAACAAAATTTTGTCCTAAACTAATCATCTTTCTGGTTCGGCTAAGGCAAGACATCTACACCGGAATTACGATATTCATAAAGGATAACTTTCTTATAATTTGGTTTCAAAAAATTATCAAAATTCGAACTCAAGACGTCTGTATTTACAATCCATCCTTATTACCACTTCAGTTATCCCTTGGGGTTAGTTAAAACATTGCCAAAACAAACAAATCCAAAGTCCTAGGGCCTGTTTGGTAACCAGTTGTTTTCATTTTTTTTTTGTTTTTGTTTTTATTTTTTACAAAAAAAAACATGTTTGGAGAGTTTTTTTTTTTTTTTGCCAATCTGTTTTGTAAACAACCCCTATTTTTAAAAGCACCTAAATAGGTGCTTTCAAAAACAGGGAAAAAATGTAAACCCGTGCGTCCCTCAGCCTCAACGAGGTCTTGTTTTCAAACTCCATTAACAACATAAAAGCTATCCTTTTTGTTCCAAGTATAAAGAGTGTGAGAGAGACAGAGTGGTGAAGGCAGAGTGCTAACAGAACTCAGATTTAAGACTACTGAGCATGTATGGTCATAACGCGACGGGGTGAATTTGATCCTTGAAGATCAGTTCTTGAAAACATTTTGCTGAAAGCTCCAAATTCCCATTGAAATATAATAATAATATAACAGTTCATATTATCCCAGAATTATCAATGAAAAATACCAGAATAAACCTTTTCCATGAAAACTACTTGATGACCTTCTTTTTTTGATAAATAGCACCCATATTATGACTTGTTATTGACCTTCACCTCCCTTAACTAAATGATATCCTAGAGAAGCTACAACTAAAAACCCTCCCTAGCGAACTACTGTTTTGCCTCTTATTATGCAAATGTCAAAAGAAATAACAGAACAGAACAATACTACTAAAGACTACAGCAAACATGTTTCCATCATGATCTCAAAACGTACACATTTCATTTCATAGAATAAAAACAAAAACAGAAAACCATATTAAGCTATGCCAATTGAGCTGGGCATTTCATCGAGCAGTTCTTTGACAATCACAAAGGCAATCACATATCAGAACAGAACAGCACTACTAAACGATCTCAAACAGAAAATGTAAGAATAATACATACACACAGAGAAATGTGAATATTCAAAGCATACATGAAACAGAGGATCTTCTCTGTCTGCCTTTCTCCTATCCTGCCTTTCGTCTTTCTCTCTCTACTGTAGCCGTCCAAAGCATTGCCTTGGCTGTGACTTTGCTGGTGGAGGATAAGCAGCAGCACAAGATTGGCAGTAGCGTGTGTGAGTGAATGAGTGAGATTTGAGATTGTGAGAAGATTTGAGATGGATTCTATGTGAAAAATTTTGGGATGAGTTTGAAATGCAGGATAGAGGCGGGAGAGATCGGTAGAGAGAGCGGCAGAAGTGAGGGAGAGGCCTAACTTGGGCAAGAAAATAGAAGATAGATCTTGACCGTTTATTGTCGACTGTTATATCAAAATTTTTAAGGAGATTTGAATCGTTTTTCATGTTAAAATTATATTGTTCGTTGAATATGTTTATGTTTTATTTTAAAATAATTTAGACTATTTTTTATCTCTTAAATTCAAATTTTATTTTATTTTATTTTATTACATAGACATATGAATCAAGAATAAATAAATCTCATGGTCCATTTCCAAAGGAAAAATACTATTAACAGAAAGGGGATGTATTTTATCAATTGTCTACTAATATTGGGTTTTTAATCACACGCAACTTTTTTTAATTTATAATTTTTGAATATTCCATTATTTTTTCAATTCAGGATTACAAATGATTCAAACAAAACTCAATGATTTTAGTATCGTTGTCTTATCGGTATAAATAAAAAATTTAGGTTGTTGGCCTTGAAATTTATTATTCATCAATTTTTTATTTTCTATGATGTGTTATATTCCATGCTTTAATTAAAATACATACAATATATAATATTACTTGGTATTACCTGTGCCCGAAGGCACAAAGTAATAAAAAATGATAAACAATAAATATATTTGTATTCATATCCAAAGTTAAATCACAAATATAAAAAAGAGATAAAAGAATTTAAACATCAGTTTATAGTGACGGTGAAAGGTGGTGAGCAACACTAGTGATAATAGGAGATAGTGATGATTTTGGTGGCGACAACGATGGTGGCGGCGACAATGATGGTGGTGGCGATGATGGAGGCGGCGATGGTGACGGTCGTGTGGGTGACAGTGGTGGTGGTGGCAGCGCAGCAGTGGCGGTGGTAGTGGTGGTGATAGACGTAGTAGTGAGACGGTTTCAAACACACCTTTAGGAGTCTATTTTTCATATTAAATTTAGCGTGTTAATATTAGCCGTTAGATTAATTTTAAAATAAAATTTAAAGTGATTTCAACTGCGAATAATAAAAATTATTTTATTTATTTTTTGAGATTTGAATTATAATTTATTTTATTATATAAATTTTTTTATATTAAATCTAAATAGCGTTCGCGTAAGGGCCCCGTTTGGGTTGGGCCGCCCCTCAACACAATCCATCGACAATCTTCCGGTTATAAGGCGTAAGTACAGAACTGAGTAATCAAAGCGGACCACTGACGAGAACAGGCAGGAGTGGAGAGCAGTGCGATCCAATACAAACATTTCCCAAGTCCAACTGTATTAACAGAAACGATTACTCACATCGCAGCATACGAAGAAGAAGAAGACTATTTGAGAAGAAGGAGGAGCAACTGACAAAAGGGTCGGATCCAATCAGATCCTGGTGGTTAGGGATTGGAGGGAATGACGGTGGATGCGAATTTGGAGATTTTGCAGGAATCAGGTTGGGAGGAGTTGAGGAAAGAGGCTCGCAAGATCGAAGGCGATCTTGATGTCAAGCTTTCTTCTTATGCTAAGCTCGGCTCTAGGTTCACCCAAGGAGGTTTCTTTCACTCTCCTCTCTCTCTCTCTCTCTCTATATATATATATATGTGTGTGTGTGTGTGTCAGATCTTGCTATGCATCACATTTTCTGAATTAGAAGTACTAACCCTTGGATTGAAATTGCTATTGGTTCTATTATATATATCCGGATTTGAACCAAATTCAGGGATTTGTGGAAACCCAATTACCATTTTTATCTGATATAGAATGTGCGTGTGCATCTGTACGTAGTTGTGTATGTGAATTGTTCATTGTTTGTTTTAGTTTGCAATTTGTTTTGTGTCTCAGGCGTAATCTATGTTGCTTCTTATTCACATCTTCCCCAAGTATCCCTATTGTATTTTGTTTATATCGTTTTCTGATGTAATTCTTAGTATGAACTGATATGGGCTGTGAAATTGCAATAGGAATATTAAATGTAGATTTATATTGAGTTGTTATCAGTTATCACAAACTATTTGTGTTCTGATTGATGGTATGAGTGCAAATTAATTTTGACTATTGAAAGAAAGTACTGCAATATGACCACTTAAACTAGGAATCATCCTCTGAAAATGGGAGGTATTAATGACTTTCCCTCAATCTCAAGTATTTCTAGGCTGCAGCTTTAACATGTTGTGAATATGCCTCGCCTCAATCAACCTTAGAAGAATAAAAAAGACAAAGAAAACATGATTCAAATGATAAGGAGATTGGATATATAGTTCGATAGTTGATTTTTGGTCTATGCTGTTTGGCTCATGTTGGGGTAATAGAACTTCAGTAATTAATTAGTAAGAGAAGTTACACGTTATTGGCTACAATTGCTGCTTCCCAGTTCAAACAATGAGTAATTTATCTTGGGTGAATGCTTTCTGATAATCATATGTGGGTTCAGGTTATGTGGATACTGGTTCACCAACTGTGGCGTCCAGCAGGTCATGGAAGTCCATGGAGATGGAGATTCAATCATTGCTTGAGAAGCTACTAGATATAAATGATGCTATGAGTCGATGTGCTGCATCTTCTGCACCTACTACCTCAGTTACCCAAAAACTGGCAAGGCATAGGGACATACTTCATGAGTTTACCCAGGTTTTTTCCTTTTATGAGTGCTTACTTAACTTTAGCACTAATTTTCTCTCAGTTCATGTAGCCTACTAGCTACCAGAAATTACTATGAATCACATGCAAGGTGCACACTAAGATCAAACATAGTATTATATTTATTGAACTTATAATTACCATTGTCAGAGTTTCATCACTGGCTATTTAGTGATGGTATAACTATTCACGATATACAATTACAATTTCCTTTTGCTTAAGCATTTTTGTCTTACTATGAAGAGTTCATATCATTTCTTTACAGTACTTGTCTTCTTATTTAAATGCATATCTCTCACAAAACTGACAGAATAAGTAGTTGAATTAGTATCTTCTAATAAGAATGATAGGTTCACATCATATAGGGGTCATTGCTATGTTCAGTGGTAAATTTCTTCATACCTACAAGATCAGTGGTTCGAATATTTGGACCGTTACTATTGTTCAAATGATGTCAAAGTTTGGGCCTATGCCTAGTCCGCCTCTCCTATCACACTCAATTAATCGGGAACAATCTGGGTGATGATTTTTATCAACATAGGTAGACATCATATACTGTATTTACTTAACAAGCAAAAGCATTCTTTGTGCTAGTGAAGTACGGGAGGCTAGGCATTTAGTTGAGAGGGGACTAACTCTATTTTACAATAAGGTCATCTTTGTTGAAATAGAGGTTCACATGTCACAAGCAGCGTGCAGGTTTTCTGTTGCCATTTTGACCTTGGACCTAATAAGATATAGCTTAGCTAATGCAGTAACGTTTTCCTTGCAAACTGGCTCTATTTCCAGCTCGTCCATACTGTTGCTAGCCTACCTTTTTTAGCTATCGTTCTGAATGAGTGGCTTCCATGCAGGTCAGCCAGTGCTGCCATGAGTATTTATTACTACTTTTCTTTATAGGGTACATTCATTTGGAATGAATGAACAGTGACACCTATCTAGACAACACAATTGGAATGCGAACTCACAAAACGGCAACATCATTGCCAAATTGGCTAAGTCGCCCGCTTGGTTCATGATCCTCATAGATAACTGTGACCTCTCTTTTTGTTAGTAAAACTGTGTTTGCTCCATCTTTTCAATCTTGATGTGATTCAGTAGGAGAATTTGTGTGGAGATTCTCATATCTACATTTGCTTCCAATCCTCCTTGCATGGAAGTGTGGCTCAGAATCCCCTTATCATTTGTGGGCAAGGTCAATCAAACTCAGTATGAGTTGAGATGGATTTTGGTCAACTTTGGGTTTGACCCATCAGGACACATTTTCCTTGCATGGAATTGGTTAACGAGACTAAGGAAGATGCCTAGTTAGTTTTGAACGAGGGCAGGTAAGAGAAATAGCATAGTTGGAAGTGCAGCTCTCGATTAGAAAGAGCTCTCTCCGTTCTGTCCAATAGACTATTTGCTAAAGCTCAAAGGCCAGTTTGAAGAAGGTCCAATGTCCAGGCATGTGAAGTAAGTGAAACTGCCATTCCAAAGCTTTCTAGAGGTGCCGAACTAGGAATAAAAATTCATAGCGAGTCTGTGCAGCAAAACTACACCGTAACTGATTCCCATGTGTTCTTGCTCCATCTGTGTGAGTTGCTATGCTGGCTTGTCTATGTCAACATTGATTCAGCTACTTCTTTAATGAGCATGCTCTTTCACGAGTGCATTAAGGTTTTGTCAGAAATGCCGATACACTTTTAGTGTCTAGGAGACTGTTGAACTACAAGAAATGGCGATCTGGGAATTCTTGCTTCCTCCCTCTCTTTCTCTCCCTCTTGGCATGAAAAAGTAAAAGAGAAGATTTAAGTCCAGTTTGTTTTGAAAAAACATTTCGACTGCTGGAGCTTTAATAACATCAAGTTCCATGTGACTAGCTTCAGCTGCATTTCATTCTGATTTCCAGTTATTTTGTTTGATATTATTGTATGTGTATGTATTTCATGTTAATGTTCAATTTGGTGAGTGCATGCTAGTGCTTGTTATGGTAGCCTGTCAAAATGTTTCTCTGGTGGTTCTCAGTTCATGTTTTCTGGGATTTTCTAGCTATGTGTATAAGCCCTGTGCATCATCTTGTTTCAATTATAATTTTCTCCAGGAATTTAGACGAATCAAAGGGAACATAAACTCATTGAGGGAACATGCAGAGCTTCTCAGTTCTGTGAGAGATGACATCAGTGAATACAAGGTGAGCAAGAATAATTTGTACTCATAGTCAATGATGTTGTTGACTTTGATTTATAAGCTGCAATCTGCAATTTTGCAGGCATCTGGAAGTATGTCTCCAAGAGTGCAGTTACTACGGGAAAGAGCTGCCATACATGGAAGCATAGCTCATGTAAAACTTAAGTGCTCTTTCACAGATTGCCTTTCTTTCTCTCTGCTTTGCATGTATGCATCCCCGCCACAAAAAAAAAAAATTAGTAGAAAGCCTACACAGAAGCAAAAAGAAAAGGAAAACACCCATCCCCAAAACCCAATAACCCATTCTTTTTGCTCACACAGGCACACCAATCTATTCATGTCCTGTTAAATAATCTCTTCTTTATTTTGGCGTCATTCTCTTCTTATTTCTTTGAGCAAAAGCCTCTAGGTCTTATTTATAATCTGAACAAAGCATACAGAGTTTTCCATGATAATAAGTATATCTATTATGCCCAGAGGGCACTCATTGTGCAACATATATCTAATATTACTACATTTCAGGGTTTCGAGCCACATCTTCCATCCATTAATATTAATATGAGTTCGGACTTTGCTAAAGTCTAAAAGTCAGATTTGTTTGAGGTCTGAATCTTCAAAATCCATCCCCCCCCCCCCCCCCCCCCCCTTTCTTTCTTTCTTTCTCCATTGTACCAATGGTAGTTGACCTTGCATAATCTAATTGGGTATGATCTTGTTGAACCTAAAGGAGAACATAGCATTCTGTAATCTTTTTCGATTTGTGATCTGTATACACAACTTGTAGAAGATGGTAAGGTGTTTGCCAGTCTATTCCCTTGACGTTGTCCAGGTTCACTTTTATGCAGATAGATGATGTGATTAGTCAAGCTCAAACCACAAGGGCAACTTTGGGCTCTCAAAGGGCTTTGTTTGGTGATGTTCAAGGAAAAGTGAAACAATTAGGCGACAAATTCCCTATTATTCGTGGCCTAATTGGTACAATTCTGAATCCATTTCTGCTACTCTCTGTTCTTCTTTTAACTAACTTCCCACTAATATTGAGCTTGATCCTCACAGGTTCAATCAAAAGGAAGCGATCGAGAGACACACTTATCCTATCAGCAGTCATCGCAGGTTGTACATTGTTTCTCATTATCTATTGGCTTTCAAAGTAAACAGGTATGTGACTTATTGGAACGGAAATATCCGAAAAAAGTATGCTTTCTTAGGAATTTTGCATCTGTTATTTCTTCAGATAATCAAGGTCACCCCTTCAAAAGCTTTTGGTATCTTTTGTGGTGCCTATTCCCCTATATTCTTTCCTGTCTGCTTCAAAGCACTTACACTCAGGAAGTTATGCCCTATTTTCGTACTGCCTTTGATTGGGAAATTTAGGAAAGAACCAAGGGAAAGAGAGTAAACTAGTCATTCACCTGTGAACTACAGCCACTGATAAAGTGGTTGAGACTTGAGACAGCGGCTCATTGTGCATAAATCGGCCAAGTGGTCCATGGTCAGAACTGGGTCCAGCCAAATTGTCATTTTGGGTCTATCCAGAGTCTTCCCTGTGTGCCAGGTTAATGCTAGATCCAGAGGTCAATTCTCTCGAGAGATGTGGTCCTGTACAATAAATGCGACTTGCCATGAATCTCTTTGAATCGAAAAGGTTTAAGTCTTCCGGGATTTTGAAATCTAAAAGCAGGTATTTGAAACCTATCGTGATGTAGTACTTTGCTTTTTATCTCCAGTTTTCAAGTGTATTTGCGAATCAATAAGTCAATTGTCACCGCCAACACGTCTTTAGGTGGTATTTTTCATGGCGAAAAAGGGGTTAGTTCCAATCAGACGTCCTTGAATTCATAACTATAATGCAAACTTTTAATGCATGCAATCATTCGCTAATCATGCATGAAGGAAAGCAAACTTATGCATAATCTTCAACTTAGGTGCTTTTTTTATAATGATAAAAAATAAAGGGAAACGTGTAAGCTTTTTGCCCGAAAATCATTGCAGAATCACAGGAAGCCAAAGAATTCAATAAAGTCTAAATTCATGTATCACCTCTAAAAAGATTTAACTTTTATATCAGTACATGAAAATTTATCAAACAATCTGAACGTTCTCCCAGCACCAATTTAATCTTTATTAATAGCATCTAATTTAATCTTCATTAATGATAAATTATTTATCATGAATTGCAGTGGAACTATTTTATATAAATAAGATCCATTATATATAAATTAGTTATTGCCTTTTGAACAAAAAAAAAAAAATTAGTTATTACCTGCACCTGAAGGCACAAAGTAATAAAAAATAGTAAACAATAAACATATTTGTATTTATATCCAAAATCAAATCATAAATATAGAGAAGAGATAAAAGAATTTAAGCATTGTTTTGTAGTAGAGGTGAGAGCCGGTGGGTGACAGTGGTGGTAGTAGGAAACGATGTGGGTGGCAATGACCATAGTGGAAGTGATGGTGGTAGTGGTGGTTGTGACGGCGGCGACAGCGATAGTGGTGGTGGTGGAGCGGTTTCAAATATTATTTTTTTAAAAAGTATTTATGAAATATAATTTCTAAAAGTACTTTTTAAAAAATCACTTCAAACACACTCATAGGGTTCTTATTTATTTATTTTTTATTAAATTTAGGGTGTTAATATTAGCCGTTAGATTAATTTTAAAATAAAATTTAAAGTGATTTCAACCGCGAATAGCAAAAATTATTTTGTTTATCTTTTAAAATTTGAATTGTAAGTTAATTTATTACATAGATGTGCAATAAATGATTTATCGTTCAATAAATTTGTGCAAGAAAGAAAATTTCCCGTGTTTTTGAAAACCACACACCCAAAAAAAAAAAAAGAGGAAACAAAAAAGGGGCTAAGTTTTTGCCACCTCCACGTGATGATGATAACGTGGTGACACTATTACATTAAATATTCTCTCTTGTTGAGGCTGCTTATTTCATGACACGTTTGTTAATTTTTCAATATCAAATTTTATTTTGTCAAATAAAAATGTGATCTTTAATTTTTTTTTTATTCTTATAATTAATGAGCACAAATAAATTAAAACACAAAATCTATAACTAATAATCATTTTTGGTATGATATTTTGGTATATTGTATTTTTTGGGTTTTCTTTTTTTTTTTTTTTGGGTTGTGGGTAGGGATGATAGTTGACTGAAGCAGGGGGTGTAGTCTCCGTTCTTATACCCGCTTAAAAAAATTTCAATCATCCCGGTCCACCTCTGTTAAGGGATATAATTTTTATTCTCATCCTTGTCTACGACTAAATTTGTAATCCTCACCCTCGTCCCGTCCCCCCGCCTTCACCTCCGCCCCCACCCCCATTCACCTTACCTCCCCAAGCTCAAGCTCAAGGCAAAGCCTAAGTCCAAACTTAAGTCCAAGCCAATATAATCTAAAATTTTAAATAAATCTAATATTTTAAATAATACAACATAAATATAGAATATCATAACATAATTAAAAGTTTGTCATTTACAATATAATATAATTAATAATGAGTAATGTTAGATGAGTTTAAAAAGTAGACTTAATAATCTCAATCATTGAATAGGTAGTGGGTCCTAATAAATGCTGAGACACAAAGTGAAATCAATTGTTATAATTATCAAGTCTAATTTTTAAGTTTATGTAGCATTACTCATAATTAAAACCTTGACTACAATATAATATAATTAAAAATTTATCTCCCTTGTAAATTCAACACAATATCATGCAACACAAAATAATGTAACATAACATAATCCAAAATGAAAAAATATAAAAACACAAAGATCTACACTTTTACAAGTTAAAATCATGAAAAAAAAATTAAAAAATAAAATAATTTTCAAAAGAAAAAATTATTCAATAATATGGATATTTGTATTTACAGCAACATAATAATACTAATAATATTAAACGGGGTGAGGAGGGGCGACAGTAAGTGTTAGCCCATTCCCATCTTCGTCCACGTATTGATTTATATGAGTATTTATTATATAATACGTATAATCTATTTTCGATTCAAATTAAATGAATTTAGATGAAAAATTATTTTTTATTCACTTCACTGCCATTCTTAGCTGTGAGTTAGTCTTTTTTATTTTTTTTTTGGGGCGGGGGGGGGGGGGGGG